ACTAAATAATTTCATGTATTTCCTAAAAACAAGGAGATTGTCTCATATAAACATAGTTTAATTTTTTAAAATAAATAGATTTTGTATATAGTCATTTATGTAATTATCAATGCAGTACTGTTATCATTACAGACCTTATTCAAGTTTCTGATACTTATTCTATTACTGGTAATGGTAACTTTGTTCATGTAAGTCTTTACATAATATTCTGGATATGATTCCTTTGCTGTTTATGGGTTGCAAATATTACTATATTCCACTCTGAGACTTGCTTTTCATTCTCTTTTTAAAAAACTATTTTAAAAACTTTTTATTGGATTTATTGGGGTGACATTGATTAATGCCATTATTTAGATTTCAGGTGTACAATTCTATAATGCATCTTCTGTATATTGTATTGTGTGTTCACTACTTCAAGTCAACCATCCTCTTAACATCTATCATGAAACAGTTCTTGATTTGAAGGTTGTCAATTTAATTTTTTCTTTTAATTACTGCTGTTTTGTGTTCATTTTAAGGAATCTTTTCCAATTCCCAAGTTCTTAAGATATTCTCTTCCAGAAACCTTTTTTTGCCTTTCACATTTATGTCTGCTATCTACTAGGAGTTGATTTTTCTATATGGTGGGAGGTAGGGGTTATATTTTTTTCCACATGGATATCCTTTGTTGCAGCATTATTTAAAAAATAATATTTTTTATTACCCTCACCCCCATTCCTTCTGGTTACCACTATACTGTTGTCTGTGTCTGAGATTTTGTTTGTTTTTATTGTTTGTTCATTTCTTGCTTTCAGTTTTATAATCCCAAATATGAGTGAAATAATATAAAAAAGGGTCAAATTTATGGTGACAGAAGGTAATATGAATTTGGGTGGTGGGTATACAAAGCAATATACAGATCATGTATCATAGAAATGTACACCTGAAACCTATATAATCTTATTAATCAATATTACCTCAACACATTTAATGAAAAAAAGAAAAGGTAAAAAAAGAATATTCTTTATAACTGTTTTCAAGGCATTTTTGTTGCAATTCAAATATCTATAAATATCTAAATCTGCTTCTAAACTTGTTGCATTTTTCTATTTGTTTATCTTTGTGCCAATATCACAATATCACTAATTACATATTAAATTATTTTAATACTTATGGGACTATTCAGATTTTCTATTTCTTGATTTTAAAGTTTTGGTAAATGCAATTTCCTAGGAATTTGCCTATTTCATATAAATTTGCCTATTTCATGTAAAGTAGTTTATAATATTTTCTAATAGTATTCATAGTATCAATATGATCAATAATGGTGAACTCTTTTCCTTCCCTAATTTTGATTCTGTAATTTATTTCTTGATCAGTCCTTCAAGGATTTCACAAACTTATTAATCATTTCACAAAACCAATTTCTGACTCTGTTGATCCTTTCTATTAAAAGTTTTTTAACTATCATTTTCTGCTCTTATCCTTGTTGTTTCAATTATTTTCTTTCTCTTACTTTCCTTGGCTTTAATTTGCTCTTCTTTTTACTTTCTTGAGATGACCATGATTTTCCACACTTTCTTTTTTTCTAATATGCATCGGAGGCTATACATTTCCCCAAATATATTTAAAACTACATGTAGCTTTAAATATATTTGATAGATTTTAATGTGACATATATTCATTAACATTAGTTAAAAATATTTTCTAATTCTTGTCATTTTTTTCATACTTTAAATTAGATTATTTAGAAGCATACTTTAAATTTTCAGGCACGTGGGATTTTCAGTTACCTGTTAGGTATTAACTCTGGCTTACTTGAACTGTGGTCAGAGAAGATTTTCCTCTAGTGGTGCTTTTGTCTTAAAGTTTACTTTGATGATGTATCAGATCCTGTTAATATCCTCATATTTCCTTGGACCTTGCCATTTGTGTGCACACTGATGGTTTTCTATTGCAATCACCTGTGACTCTGCATCTGTGGGCTTTTTATAGTAAGCTTGGCCCATGTGCAGGGCAAGCAGGCCAGCAGTTCTGAGAAGTTGATGCCCCAGTAGCAGCTCTCACCTAGTGACAGATGGGAATTGGAGGGTAAGTACCTCAGCTTCATCATCTGTTTTGGAAGGACAACTCTGAGGGGATAGTCCACAGAATCTCTCAGAAGCACTTACTGGGGTTGAGTCCCAGGTTCCCACAGTGGTAACCTGATCATTAATGCCCCACTGTTAGTTTCCTTCTCTCTCATCACCCTTTATGCTTTTCAGTTCTCCCACTGGAGCTTCATGGGATCCTTTCCCAAATAAACTATGTGTTCTCAAATATTTGTCTTAGGCCTGTTTCAGAGGGAATCCAACCAAAGACAGTTTTATGTTTTAGTGTTGGCATAACATATCTCTTTTCTGCCTTTTACTTTCAGCCTTTCTGTACCCTTTTATTTTAGATATGTCTTAACATTATATAGTGCTTAATTTTCTTTATTAATAATACAGCATTTGTTTTTATTTTTAAATTTATTATTGTTTTTTGTGTGAATCCTCAATTGAAGATATTTTTTTTATTGATTTTTAAAGAGAATGGAAAGGAGGGGGAGGGAGGGAGAGGGAGAGAAGGAGAGAAAAAAGAGAGAGAGAGAGAACATCGATGTGAGAGAGACACGTTGATTCGTTGCCTCCAGTACAGACTCCTACTAGGGCCAGGAATGGAACCTACAACCTAGATATGTGCCTTTGACTGGGGATGTAACCCTCGACCCTTCAGTGTGCAGGCCAACACTCTAACCACTTAGCAACAATGGCCAAGGCCATCATTTGTTTTTAATTGGATTATTTAGTTAACTTCCATTTATTATAATTATTGACATATTTGGGCTTAAATTTTAATCTTTGCTTTCTATTTCCCCTCTTATTATATGCTGTCTTTTCCTCTTCTTTTCTCACTTTTTGTTTTCGATTGATTTAATGGTTACTGTTTGCATACTCATTTTCTACTTTGGTGATTAGAGGTTACTGTGTCCATCCTCAACTTATCAAAATTAACATTACCAGTTGAAGCTGTGACTCATTGTTCATAGCTGACATTCACAGTGGTGTGGGTTCCATTCCTATCAACCACTCATCTCAATTCTTTCTTAACTTTCGTTGCCCTTTCCTTTTTGCTTGGGCAGAGAAAGCCAGCTATGTCAGAGGGACCTTGAAAGCAGGACGGAGTAATGGTGAGAATGGTGAGGTTGGAGATCAGGGGATCTATCATCATGGAACCAAAGAAACTATTTTTGGTTTTTTGGGGTTTTGGTGACATCACCTTTTCCTTTGCTCCATTTATGGTACCTTTAGATTTTTGTAGCCTCTGTTTCTTTGCCACTGACCTTCCTATAACCTTCCTTCCATCTTCTCTCCACTCTGTCTCCTGCTGTTTCTTTCTCTAGCTCTGTGTTAGTTTACTAGGTCTGCTGTAATAAAGAGTACCACAAACTTGACGGCTTAACACACATTTATTATCTCTCCATTCTGAGGGCCGGAAATCTGAAATCAAAGTATCTAGAGGGCCCTGCTTCCTCCGAAGGCTCCAGGGAAGATTCCTTCCTCGCTTCTTCCAGCTTCTGGTGGTTGCCAGCAGTCCTTGGAATTGCTTGTCTTGTAGCTATATCACTCCAATCTCTGCCTTTGTGTTTATGTGGCTTTTCTCTCAGTGTGTGTTTGTGTCTTCATATAGCATTCTCTTCTTTGTTTGTCTATGCTCAGATTTCCCTGTTCTTTTAAGAACAGTCATTGGTTTAGGGCCCACTCTTATATGGCATGATATCTTCTTACCTTCATTACATTTACAAAGACCCTATTACTAAATAAGATCATATTCTGAGGTTTCTGGTGGACATGAATTTTGGGTAAGCACTACAAAACGCAGCAAAAATTCATTTACGTCCTATAGTTCAGTTAAAGTAGAACTGGCTTAGAAGTGAGAAGACCTAGATGCTGATTCTGCCTGTACTACTAGTTTTATGAGTACGGACTTTGGAGTTCACAGCAGGGGTTCAAATCTCAGCTTCATCACTTAACTTTCCTGAGCCTCAGTGTCTTCATCTGTAAATTGAAGTAAACTATACCTATAATTTAGATAGGACTAAATAAGATCATGCTTTTTAAATGCTTGGAATAGTACATTGTGGGTATTTAACAAATGATACTTTTCTCCTAAGCACTCTCTCTTAGTTTCTCCACAGTAAAATTAAGTGGGTTTATTTTCAAGATCCTTCAAGCTTCAAAGTTTTGATAGTTTCTTTAAGTTATTTCCTTTTCTTACTCTTCCTCACCCATGTGTCTCATTCCTTTCCTCTTTAACAACTTAGGCTCTTCAAGGTTAATTGAATACAAGGTAGCCTGTTCTCCCTTCCTGTCCCCCCTAATCCTTTTCGCCCCACTTTTATTCCTGTGGTTAGGCTGACATTCATCTGGTTGGCCCAGGGACAGTCCCAGTTTGTGCCACTACAGCAGTATAATTATTGATATTGCCCCCTTTTACTCTCAAAGCATTCTGGTTTGGATAATGAATTATATGGTCACCCTACTTAGAATGTTCTTATAGAACTTACATCTGCCTCTAATATTGCATGGCGCATAACAGGTCATGTTGCCCCTTAATTATTTTGTGGATCTGTCTCTTTTGTAGGATTGAGGGAAAGATTGATTTTCTGTGTTTCCCCAAAGTCTAGCCCTTACCTGGCACAGGGGAGGTGCACAGCAATGTTTGTGAAACAGGTGGATGTTCTTGAAACCTTGCTCTATTTAAGTATGTGCTTTTCAGGTGCTCAGTAAATATCTTTATTTTTTTAATTTTTATTTTTAAAAAACTTTATTGTTAAAAGTATTACATATGTCCCCTTTTCCCGCCCATTGACTTCTTCTAGCCTGCCCTCACCCACCCACCCCGGGCCTTAACCACTCTATTGTCTATGTCCATGGGTTATGCATATATATGCATGTAATTTCTTTGGTTGATCTCTTTCCACTCCTCCATCTTCCCCTGCCTTCCCACTGAGATTCCACAGTCTGTTTCATGCTTCTGTGTCTCTGGATCTATTTTGTTCAACAGTTTATTTTGTTCATTAGATTCCACATATGAGTGAGATCATGTGATACTTCTTTAAATTGAAGTAGATGGCTGCCCTTTATGAAAGTGAGAAATGAACCTAATAAGAACATTGCTCCTCTCTCTGCTTTCCTTATCTGTGGTCATTAACTCAGAGCTCTCATTTCACCTCCAGATTTGTGACTCATTTCTTCCTCTTGCCTCACCCCTATCTATTTCAATTCTTTGAAAACTGAAGTTATTCTTTTCAGGACTCAGTGGGTGCTGTGGTGACCTGCTTTCCAGTTGCAGAGTGCTTTAGGCAAGTGCACCTCCATGATGAAAATCTTTCCACCACCCAGAGCTTTGGAGGCTCTGCTGCGTGTTTCAGAAGCGCTTTATCTGCCATCTTGTTTCTATCTTTGAGGCCACACCCTCGACGATTGCTTCATCCTGTGTCTGTGTCTGTACAAGTGAAATTAAGTGATAAATCAAAGATGGGTTTAATTCAGGCTTCAGAGTCACTTTTGCATGACTGTTTTTCTTGTTGCTGTCAGCTCACTGCCTCAGCACCCCTCCCCAATTTGTTTTTGGGGGTTGGGATCTTCTATGACACAAGGAATGTTTTCTGGGCTTTGTCATTTAGTTCCAATGGTGGAAAACATTTTCCTCCTTCAGGAATTTTGAAACTGAATCTACCTGAATTGAGTAAATGTGTTGCTTTTCCTGCTGGTGGCTGAAAACCATCACTTATTCATCTTTGAACAAACTATTATTGAGAACTTACTACATGTAAGTAATGAAACCAACAGTTATGTGTCCAGGAGTTCTGTAGAGGCCATGGCGATATGCTGCTCAAATCAACTTTCAGGAGTTGCAAGGGATCTAGTTAGCTGCAGCACCTCTGAATCGGCCCCTGCTTCCATATTGCCAAGCCTCACTCTTCCTGGCCTTCTCTCAGCTGTTAACTGCTTGTGGTAGAGGCAGAGCCAGGCCATTTCTGCCCAACATGGGACTCCTCTATCTTTGCTTGGGGACCTGCAGCCAGCCTGGCTTAGACTTTCTCAGAGCTGCACTGTAGTCTGACCCTCCAATTTCCCAGTCCTCTTTCTTATTTCCTTCTCTTTCCTAGGTGTCAGACCTGCATCAGGGTCTGAAGACTCTCCCCACTTATGCTGGCTGCTTCCTCTCTATTTCTTCCCAGGCATTTCTTCCAGGAAATCTCCTGCATGACTGACTGCATCTTGGCATGTGTTTCTTGGAAGAGCTGAGGTCACAGAGGTTCCCAGTCCAATAGTGTAGATGAAATGTGTACACATAACACAGAATACTCTTCATTCCATTCCTATTCAACACTAATTGGTAGGATTAATGTACAATAGTGACATATAGTCTTAGATTTAAAAATGAAGTCTATTTCCCATAGTATGTATTTCCTTGAGGGCAAGGACCATGAGCAATATAATTCTTTGTTTAGTTTTCAGATCACCTGTCATAGATGATAAAGAAAAGCACTTAGGAGGAGAAAAATAAGGGTAGAAGTACTACTACTACTACTAATTTGAGGGCCCTCCCATCTCAGGCATTAGGTACTACATATATTTTTTTCTAAACCTCATGCCAACATCACAAAGAAGATATTGTTGTCATGCTCATTTTTCAAAATGAAATAAATGAAAACAAAGAGGTTAAATAGATTACTCAAAGTCACCCTAGATTTAGTGAATGACTGTGCTCAGGGTTTGGATTTTGGGGCCTCTAATGCCCTTGAGTTTCTCATAAAATCATGCTCAGTCTTAGGGGATATCATTAAACCTAGGCCAGACCTTAATCAACCTGAGAAGTTTGAGCGGGGTCCCTCCCTATGGCTTGGCGATAGGCTAGACCAGGGTCTTTGTCTTTAAGTTATATATTTAGAGAATTTTATATGGTATTTTTAAGAATTTTTGGGAAAGGAAAGTGATATCTTTAAGATTGGGTTCTCCTTTCTTACTGATTCTGTGGTCTAAGATTGCAGAGCAAGACAGCAGCACAGAAAGAAGCTAGACACAGAAGGCCACATAATGTGTGGCTTCATTTATATGAAATTTTAGAATAAGAAAATCTATAGACAAAAAATAGATGAGTGGTTGTCAGGGACCGAGGGGATGGGAGAATAGGAAGTGACTGCTAATGCGTGTGAGGTTTCTTTTTTTGGGTGATGAAAATGTTCTGAAATTAGATAGTAATGATAATTGCACAACACTTTGAGTACATTAAAAATTATATGTATACCTTAAAAGGGAAAATGTTTATGACATGTGAATTATATATCCATAGAAATTATATGTTTATGCAGCACTCAGGCTCCCAGACTCTCTTCAAAAACTCAAACTATTGCATTAGCTGAAACTTCTCATATTATACATGTTTAATGTTAAAACGAACTATGATTCATTATTTTAACCTTGTTTTTTGAGAGGCTGGATGAATTATTTTGCCTAAAAATATGTGCATAAAATCCACCCTTTTAGACTGTTCTTTACAAAGGTTGCAATGCAGTTAATTTGGATGTGGGTGTCTGAACCAAATGCCAACTCTGGAGTAGGTCCTGGATCTAGTTGTTAGACTCAGATGATGCCCCAATAACTATAGCAAACAGGATGACCTAGACAAGCCTCCTGTTTTTATAGATAGAGCTTGAGCAATTTCTGTCCCCAGGTGCCTGGCAAGAACATTGATTAAGACATTCCTGCACATCTCCTTGAAATCCAGAAGCTGTGGTTGTGCTGTTTGCCAACACTGCACACTCAGTTGGCTCCCACGGGTGTGGGAACTTCCTGTTCTTGGCAGAAGACAGAGAAGCATTGACCCACCCTATAATTCCCCGGTGCTACTAGGTGTGGGCGTCTCTGCAGGCTGGGCTCTAGACAGGGAGTATTTCTATCCATGTTCCACCCTTGACTAAAGCAGCCAGTTGCTGAAAGGTTCTGGGATGAGTTGTTTGTAGTATTTGTCTCAAGTTTCTAGCTGTAGAATAAGGTTAATGACAATGGATCCAGATGATCTTATGCAACATTATGTCCAACACACACACAGAAGGTGAGATAGGCAGTTCATGGCAGAGATAGGACTAAATCCAAGCATCACAATTTTAATTTAGGATTCTTTCCATCTTGCTTTCACCTCTTGTAAATAACTGTGTGGTCAGAGATGTGGAAATAAAAATAATTAGAGCATGGATTGATTGATGAACTCAGAACCTTCTGCTTTTTTATGCTGTATTTGTAGCAACTTTCTAATCTTGCCCCTATATTTCTTCCTCTAGCTTTCTCTCTAGGCTATATTTTCTAGCCACTTTGGGTATAAGTTTCCAAACTTTTGTAGTCACTTTGGGTATAAGTTTCCAAACTTTTCTCATAATTCATTTTATTGCTAATGTATTTTAAGTATGTCCTAGACATTGTGGTAGTTTCTGGGGATAAAAGATGAACAAAACCTAGAGCCTAACCTTCAGGCACTTATAGTATAGAAGAGGACACAGACATAAATATAACATAGAATGATAGTGGCAACAATAGAAATATAACTTGAAACCCAGGTACTGAGAAGAGGAAATGGAGTGAGTAATTTCAGGGCATGGAGCATGGGAGGCAAAAAGATGAGGGAGAGGGGAAATTTCACAGAGGAAATGGCATCTAAGTTGGGATTTGAAGAAAAATAGCAGAATAAAAAACTTGCTGACCTGCTTTCATTTCATGCTTCTACTCAGGTACTATATATTTTATTTTTATTTTTCATACTCACCTGAGGATATGATTATTGATTTTAGAGAGAGAGGAAGGGAGAGAAAGAGAGAGAGAAACTCCATGTAAGAGAGAAACATCTATCGATTGCCTCCAATATGTGCCCCAACCCAGGAAGAACCCACAACCTAGGTATGTGCCCTGTCCAGGAATGAACCCATAATGTTTTTGGTGTATAGGACAACCCTCCAACCAACTGAGCCACCCAGCCAGGGCTCAGGTGCTATTTAATAAATTTAGCATAACAAGAATTGTATTGCATTACAAATGCTTCCAGAAGATGATGGATAGATAGGTACAAGTTGGAGCTAAGGCTTCGCACGCGAAGCTCACCTGGAAAGTTTAGAACTGGTTGGGATACTGTATAAGTGACATACCTTTATTGAGGAGGCTCGTGGCAAGCACTGATGTCTTCAGAGCCAGAAAAAGATGGGCATGGCTGTAAAAGTTAGTCCAAGGGCAGTGAATATGTTGTTAATATTATTTTGAGTATTTACAATGCATTGTACCTCATGTATGTTACCAGAATTATGATATTTAATTCTCATAATAACCATATAAACTAGGTTCCAGTATTTTTATAGGTGTAGAAACAGAAGCTCAGAGAGATTGAGTAAATAACTTGCCTAAGGTCTGAGAACCAGAAGGTGGTGAGCCAAATTGGAAGCCAGGAGTGTTTAAATCCAGAGATTGAACTCTTTTTTTTTTAAGATTTTTTAAATATATATTTTATTGATTTTTTACAGAGAGGAAGGGGGAGGATATAGAGAGTTAGAAACATCGATGAGAGAGAAACATCCATCAGCTGCCTCCTGCACACCCCCTACTGGGGATGTTCCCACAACCAAGGTACATGCCCTTGACCGGAATCAAACCTGGGACCCTTCAGTCCGCAGGCCAATGCTCTATCCACTAAGCCAAACTGGTTAGGGTCAGAGACTGAACTCTTGATTTCTATTCAGTGCCATGGTGGGAACAGATTTGGAATGTAAGCCAGGAATCATCTGAATCCTTTAAATCTCCCCCATAGAAATTCTAGGACATCCTAGGTACATGGTGTTAGAGTGATTAGTGAATATTTTCTGAGTTCCTGCAAAGTCCTTAACACCGTGTGAGGCCCTGCAAGGAATGCAGAGAAAGATGAACTTAAGTTCTGGAGAATAAAACTCACATAAAAATTTATATGGAACCAAAAAAGACCTCGAGCAGCTGCAGTAATCTTGAAAAGAAGAACAAAGTTGGAGGAATCATAATACCAGATTTCTAGTTACACTATAAATCCACTATCCTCAAAACAGCCTGTTACTGGTACAAGAACAAGCACATAGATCAATGGAACAAAATAGAGACCCCAGAAATTGACCCAAGACATTATGTTCAATTAATATTTGACAAAGAAGGCAATAGCATACAATGGAGTAAAGACAGTCTTTTCAGATAATGGTGTTGGAAAAATGGGACAGGTACAGGCAAAATAATAAAACTAGACCACCAACTTACACCATACATAAGAATAAACTTAAAATGGAGAAAAGACTTAAATGTAAGTCATGAAACCATTAAAATCCTAGAAGAAGCCATAGGCAGCAAAATCTCAGACACCTTTTATAGCAATATGTTTACCGATACATCTCTTAGAGCGAAGGAAACTAAGGAGAAAATAAACAAATGCGACTACATCAAAATAAAAAGCTTCAGCAGTGCAAAAGAAACCATCAACAAAATGAAAAGAGAGCCCACTGTATGGGAGAACATATTACCCAATGATACTTCTTATAAAGGGTTAATTTCCAAAATATATAAGGAACTCATACAACTTAACAAAAGAAAGGCAAACAATCCAATTAAAAAATGGGCAAAGGATCCAAATAGACATTTCTCCAAAGTGAACATACAGAAGGCCAAGAGACATATGGAAAAAATGCCCAAAGTCACTAATTATCTGAGAGATGCAAATTAAAACAACAATGAGGAATCATCTCACACCTGTCAGAATGGCTATCATCAACAAATCAACAAATGACAAATGTTGGCGAGGATGTGGAGAAAAGGGAACCCTAGCACATTGCTGATGGGAATGCAGACTGTGGCAGCCACTGTGGAAAACAGTATGGGGTTTCCTCAAAAAATTAGGTATGAAACTCCCATTTGACCCAGTGAGCCCACTTCTAGGAATATACCCTAAGAAACCTGAAACACCAATCAGAAAGAATATATGCACCCCTATGTTGATAGCACCACAATTTACAATAGCTAACATTTGGAAACAGCCCAAGTGCTTATCAACAGATGAATGGATAAAAAAGCTGTGATGTATTTACACAATGGAATACTTATGTGGCTGTAAGAAAGAAGGAACTCTTACCATTTACAACAGCATAGAGGGATCTGTAGAGTATTATACTAAGTGAAATAAACCATCTAGAGAAAGATAAGTATCATATGATCTCATTCATATGTGGAATCTAATGAACAAAATAAACTGATGGCCGAAACCGGTTTGGCTCAGTGGATAGAGCGTCGGCCTGCAGACTGAGGGGTCCTGGGTTCGATTCCGGTCAGGGGCATGTACCTGGGTTGCGGGCACATCCCCAGTGGGAGATGTGCAGGAGGCAGCTGATTGATGTTTCTCTCTCATCGATGTTTCTAACTCTCTATCTCTCTCCCTTCCTCTCTGTAAAAAATCAATAAAATATATTTTAAAAAAATAAAAAATAAAAAAATAAACTGATGAACAAAATAGATCCAAAGACATGGAAGCATGGAACAAACTGATGAATTTTAGAGGGAAAGCCGGGGTGGGTGGATGGGGGAGATTAACTGGGGAATTTATATGCATACTAGAGGCCTGGTGCATGAAATTCATGCACTTGGAGGGGTGTCCCTCAGCCCAGCCTGCACCCTCTCCAATCTGGGACCCCTCAGGGGATATCCGACTGCCTGTGGGATTGAACCTAAACTGGCAGTCGGACATCCCTCTCACAATCCAGGACTGCTGGCTCCCAACTGCTTGCCTGCCTGCCTGCCTGATTGCCCCTAACTGCTTCTGCCTGCCAGTCTAATCACACCCTAACCACTCCCCTGCTAGCCTGATTGATGCCTAACTGCTCCCCTGCTGGCCCGATCATCCACAACTGCCCTCCCCTGCTGGCCTGGTCACTCCTAACTTCCCTCCCCTGCTGACCTGATTGTCCACAACTGCCCTCCCCTGCCAGCCATCTTGTGATGACATAGGGCAGCCATCTTGTGACCACATGGGGCGGCCATCTTGTGCAAGGGCGTGATGGTCAATTTGCATATTACCTCTTTCTTATATAGGATATGCATAGCCCATGGACACAGACAGTGTGGTGAAGGCCTGGGAGGGGTGGGTGTAGGATGGAGGGGTTCAATAGGGGAAAAAACAAAAGGAACATCTGTAATACTTTAAACAATAAAGATAAATTATTAAAAAAGAAAAGAGCCTAGATAATTGACAGAATAAGTGCCTTGTCTGCAGCCATATGGGTAGTGAGTAAAGACCCAAAACTTGAACACAGGACTTTCAACGCTGGGATTAGTGCTGTTTCTTCTAAAATATTGCCAGATAGATCTTGGCATTCATACATAGGAGAGTTAGATACTGTAGGACCAGAAGCTAAATCAAAATCTTACACAACTTATAGGGTCACGGTTTCAATACATTTTTTTTTTCTGACTTGAGATATGCTTTTCCTAATGTCTACCACTTTGGTGGAGCCAGACCAAAGATGTTTTGAGGCTGTGAGCCAGAAAGATTTTGAAGTCCCTGTTTGATGTGCTCTCTTACCCTCTTTTCTACTATTCATCAAGTCTAACTAAATATTAAGAGAGAGAGAGAAAGAGAGAGAGAGAGAGAGAGAGAGAGAGATCTGAGATCTGCTCAGCTCCCTTTTCCAATCATGCTGATCCCGATTCTTTCCATATTTGTATAATGATACACCTACAAAATGAACTAAACGACTTTTCATATAGGGCAGAATTTAAAATCCATGGTTGAAAGATCTGAAATTGTTTATATTTATTGACTTCCGTGAGAAAGTTAATAACAGCCTGTCAACAAAGAAAAGTAAAAATCACATTGAAAGCTAGAGGAAGTTAGAAAAAGAGACTGGTGTAATGCAATATTCTGGAACAGCTGGGGGGACCATTTATTAGATTCATGTGCTCAGAACTGTGAAGGTTTTGTGCCTCATTTTATGTGGTCGCACAACAGTGTCTTGGAGTGTAGCCAAAAACAGCGTTATGAGCAACCAATAACTGGAAGGACTTCACAAGGGTTTCTGAAGAAAATCTCTCTCTATACCTGAAATCTTACCATTAGAATTTCATTCTTTTGAGTCTAAGAGATTTTGAAAGAGTTTTCTCTTAAAACATAGTTACCCTTTGAAATGCCATGCTCTTTCTTAATATCTCAATGATAGGCTAATAATTATTTACTATTTTATTGGGTTATGAATTAACAGATTCAGTTCTTGAACTGCCAAGTAAGAATGACCTTAAGTTTCACCAAGCCAAACCCTCTCACTTTATTTGAGGCAGTGAGAGGTTAAGTGATTTGCCCACATTTATTAGGAAAACAGGAAAGAGATATTGGGATTTCTTATTCTCATTCACTCTTTTGAAAGATAATTTTTTTTTTACTTGTACAAAGATACATACATATATAAAGGGCATTCTAAAAAAGTGTACATACAGTTTAACAGTTGATTGCTCAATTTTGAAAATGAAATGTATTTTAATAAATACTGTTTTTATAATTATTCACAGTATATATTTTGGGGATATATATATATATATATTTCCCCCATAAAACCTTATGTAAGCCCTGGCTGGTATGGCTCAGTTGGTTGAGCATCATTCCTATGTAGGCCTTTTGCCCATTTTGTTGCTTGTCTTGTTTTTTCTTATGTTGTTTTAAAATTAATGCAGAATGTTTAAATTTTTATGTAGCTGTATCATCAGTTAATCTAGTTTTTGATGGATTTTGGGTTTTCTGAATGTCTTAACTACTCTAATATTAAAACTCTATCCTCCCATGGTTCATTCTAATACTTTTAATTTCTTTTAAATGTTTAACTCCATAGTATAGCTACACCATAATTTATTTGTTTCTTTCCCATTTCATTTAATTTCGCTGTAGAAAATTTATATCTCTGTACTATGTATCCTCCTGTCCAGTTATATGGTGATTTCTCTCATCTTTTCAGTTTCTTTTTAAACTTATTTTTTAAAACTTGATGAGAGAGAGAAAGAGAGAGGGAGGGAGAGAGAGAGAGAGAGAGAGAGAGAGAGAGAGAGAGAGAGAGAGAGAAAGAGAGAGAGAAACATTGATTGATTGCCTCTGATACATGCCCTAATCGGGGATTGAACGCACAACCTGGGTATGTGCCCTAAGAATCAAACCTGCCATGTTTTGGT